TGCATCTTCTAATTGTTACATATTTCAGTTTTATGTACTCCATTATACCCCTATTTCTACTGCCTTAATGCATTTCTGGCTCCTCACCACAGTCTAGATTTTCACTTTAGCTTGTTAGTTAGTCATTTTACAAAAACATTTGACACAAACCTTAAGCTATTTTCCTCTGCTTGAGATCTTTGAATTGTTTGCTATTGCTTAAAGAATAACATTCAGACTCTTAACTAGGTATCTTTGTAACTCAACGTCTAACAATTTCCTGTCTTTAACTTCTGCCATTCTCCCTAAAGCACACTAGAGTATTGCTATAAAAACATTTATTCTTCTCTGTTTATATAATGTTTTCCTTCTGTGCTTTTACTCATGAGGATCTTTTTTCAAATTTCTGACCTTTACTACCTTATCTTTTTTGCCTTATTAAGTCTAACTCATTTTTAACACAACCCTCAAAAGTCAGCCGATTACTGAGATCATTTTCAATCTTCCTAGCCAAAAAAAAATATTTCTTTATTCAAAATCACAAAGCATACTTTGTATGCTTTCACTTGACACATATCTCTGAATTTAAACTTCTTATTTACATTTCTGTCTTCTTCAGATTGGGAACTCTTCAGAATCTGTGCCCATGCCCTATTCACCATTGTATCTCTGGCACAATATACAATTCCTAAGAAAACAATCTCTACAGTCTAGTAGAAGAGGTATACACATAAGCAAGTAAACACTGTACAATGCACAACTGCTATAATACAGGCATGTACAAGATTCAGTGGTGACAAAAAATAATTCACTATTCTTGGTAAGGGAAAGTTTAGTTTTATAGAGAAGTTTAGTTTTATAGACTCCTTTAAAGAGTCTTGAGGTTGTACTGAAGGATACATAAGAGGTCATCTGGTGTAGGAAACATGGAAAAGCTTTTCAAAAAGAAATAACAGTGTCCAGACATGGAGTCATGAAACCACATCAAACAATTACAAATATTTAAATATTTTTATGGCTGGAGCAAATGCTTTGAGGAAGATGGTTGCAAGAGTCAGATTGGGAGAGGGAGAAAAGACCTTGATTTCTGACAGCTTTGCAAATCCCACTAGTTGAGTGTGGGATTCACCCAAGGAGAAGTTAGGAGTTATTGATGGGTTTTAAGCAGGATATAAACATGTGCTAGGATCTGAGGTTTGGCAGGATTATTCAAGTAACAGTGTGGAAAACAAAGCTGAGATGGCATAAGACTAGAAAAAGAAAGACCAGAAGATTATTGCCTGACGAAGACAATCTTAAACCAAGGCAGTAAAAGTGTAAATAAATAGTAGTAAAAAAAAAACTAGATAAAATTCTAGGTGCTTCACAATTTATAGTCTCATTCAATTAACAACTACATTAACCCTCTAAACAATGTGATTATTATCATCTAACAGATAGAGAATTAAGAAACATGGAGAACTTTAAACAAGTTTTCTAATACCTGACAGTTAATAAATTGCTTAACCAAGATTCCAATCTAGCCTAATTCCAAATCTAGATATTAGTAGTGTTAGTGGTTATTAGATTGAAAGAGTAAGTATTGGGAAAGTTTAAGATGCCTCCCTAATTTCTAACTTCTATGAGTAGTGGCAGCATTAACTCAGAGAAGAAACAGAGGATGGAGGAGAGCTGTGTGTGTTTATGTGTGTGCGTGTGTGTGTGTCTGTGTGTGTCTGTGCGTGTGACTATGGACACTTGCTCATAGCAGTGGCAGGAGTAATGTAATCATACAGCATGATTAACAGTTTTAAATTTAATAAGATTAACCTTGAAATATGTGTATGTCATCCTGATAAAGATTTCAACTTGGCAGTTGGATATATAATTTTCATGCTGAAGAGAGAGAACTAGACTAAATAGACATATTGGAGAATTATCAGCATGTGGGTACATAAATGACAGTCTTGCACATGGGTGACAAGGATTTAATTTTGGCTCCCACTTCTCTGAGCCTGCTCTTCTCAAAGAGAGCAATAATCTCATAACTGTCAAATCCAATGATCACTTCCTAGTTTCATCATGCTTGAGTCATTTGTGAACCATATTGTTTGTTTAATCAAATTCATTCTGATTCAGACAATGTCCTTTAGAATAGCTGAGATACAGCTCAAGGTAATAAGGGAAAGGCAGTTTGCAGACTTATACAAAACTAGACGTATTGGAAAAAAAATTGGTAGCTGAACAAATTGTCTTGGCTAGCTGCTTTACCAGTATAAAGGCCTACAAAGGCGATACGGTTTGGATGTTTGACCCCTCCAAATTTCAGGTTGAAATTTGTTTCCCGGTGTTAGAGGTGGGGCGTGTTAGAAGGTGTTTGGGTCATGGGAGCAGATGTCACTTGAATGGCTTGGTGCCTTCCCTGTGATAATGAGGGAGCTCTCAGTTTGTTAGTTCATGCTAGAGCTGGTTGTTAGAACAGGGAACATCCTCTCCATCTCTCTTGCTCCTTCTCTCACCATGTGACACGCCTGCTCCCTTTGTCTTTCACCTTGATCAGAAGCTCCCTGAAACCCTCACGAAAAGCACATGTTGGTAGGAGGCTTCTTGTACAATCTGCCGAACTGTGAGCTAAATAAACCTCTTTTCTGCATAAATTACCTAGCTTCAGATATTTCCTTTATAATAGTGCAAAATGAACTAACGCAGAAGGAAATTAAGACATAAGTGTTGGTGTCTAGTCTATGTAGTCTATAAGAAGTCATGTAAGGACTGTAGCAAAAGACAAAGAAGTTAAGTGATAATTAGGACTGAGAAAGGAAAAAGAGACTGAATAAGGTTGACCTTCAACAATGATCATCCAAAGAGATGATAAATGCAGATTTAGTTCAAATAGGTATAGATATCTGAAGAGACATAGTGCAGGAAATGGAGCAGTCTGGGTGGTAAAGCTAACTTAAATCATTTATTCACTCAGTAATATTGATTAACTGCCAATTATGTCCCAGATACTGTGCTAGCCTTAGCAAAAAATTGTAAAGAAGGGAGATTTTTTCCCAGCCCTCCCTTCAAGTTTATTATCACTTGAAGAAGAAGAAATTAATCAAATAATTATCAAAATTACTTGCTAACATCCCAAATTATGTTATAAAGAGAAAGAAGATGGTATCCTGAGACAATATAATAGAAAAGCTTAATCTGGTGTGTGGTCTTGGGGGAGAGATTAGATTGTGATTCAGTGTGCTTGAGAAAGGAGCTACCAAGTAAAAGGTTCACTAAGTAAGAAGCATGTAATCGAAAACCTGAATAATGATATAAGTTGGATAGCTAAAGGATGGAAAAGGTGAGTTTAAGGGAAAATAAAAATAAAACACTGCATGAAATTACATGTAGTCCTTTTATGGAGGCTGTCTAATTTCTATGTATAGTCCCTATTTTATTATGGCTGCTGTGAAGAGGTCAATTTTCTGACAGCAGAACAGCAGCTACTGCCTGGACTGAAGATATACACAATAGACCATGCTGGAGATGAGTGCCGTAAGAATGAAGAGTGGTTTCCATGAAGTACTCAAAATCTGTTAACATTGCTGTTTTTGTCATTATTTTTCATCAGTATTCACTCATTTTAGAGATTGAGATGAGATATGGGAAGGAGAGAAAAGAAGCGCCGGAGTGGGGGAGTGGGTGTCAAAGTTGAGAAACTGGTTCAGTTCTCATAATCAAACTCCTCGTGATTCATACTGCTTACCACTGGATCTATGTATACCCTGCTTCTTCCAACTATAAGTGGAAACCATTTTACAATATTCCAAACACATGCTTTTGGAGTACAGCAACTGCATGTCTCTCTCTCTCTATATATATATATATATATATTTTTTTTTTCACTTACTTTAAAACTTTTTGTCTTCAGAAAATATCAAATTCTCTAAGCCAATAACAGTTTTTAAGACTCTCTTCCTATGTACAAGATATTACACTCATTATAAAAGCCTTGATTCCTTTATAATACTATTAATGACATTCAAATTTCTATCCCGCAATGAAATTCTTTCTGCTGAGAGGTTGAAGTTGATTGAAGTCAATGAGAGTTGGGTATGAGAAAATGGTAGAAGCCTTTGGTCTCTGATAAGTTTCTTTCTATTACTTCTACAATGAAGGAATTTTCTTCCCTGCTTTCATCTGAAGACAAACACACTGAATATTGAGGAACTAATTTTCAACCAATATTGATGGTTAATTTTTGGAAAATCTATTTAGATATCATGCACAGTCTGCATTTTCTACTGGGTTAGAGAATCTTCCAGAAAAAAATACTATAGTTCTTCCTTATCTGTGGCTCCACCTTCTGTGGTTTCAGTTATTTGTGGTCAATTGCAGCCCAACAGATTAAAGAGAAAGTTATTTAATAAACAATTCATAAGTTTTAAATTATGTACAGTGCTGTGTAGGATAATGGCATATTTCCCCATCCCATTGAATCATTTCTTGTCCAGAGTATCCACACTGTAAAACCTCTCTACTCTTAGTTACTTAGTAGCTGCCTTGGTTATCAGATTGTGTTCAAGCAACTCTTATTTTACTTAATAATAGCTACAGTGTGCAAGAGTAATTATGCTGGAATATAGTTATAATTGTTCTATTTTATTATTAGTTGTTTTTAATGTCTTACTGTGCCTATTTAATAAATTAAACTTTATCATAGGTAGGTATGTATAGGCAAACATATAGTATATATTAGGTTTGGTAGTATCAGAGATTTCAGGCATCCACTGGGGGTCTTGGAACTTATCCCCCACAGATAAGGGGGGACTACTCTTAGCCGTGTACTTTCCACTGACAAAATAAGCCAACAAATGACTTCAGTTCCCTACCATTAGCTTATTATTATGTGATATGTCATTTTTTGTTTATATTTCAAGGGTAGACTTGAGTATCATTGAGGAAAACAGAGAAAATACAAAAAAAAAAAATGGAGTTGTTGCCAAATCTGAAATTGAAATTTGGACTTAAGTTTTTACTTTTATATCCTTCTCATTCAGGACATAAAGAAGATCACAAATACACTCTCTTCCTGATACTATGTCAATGACAGTAATTAGTCTGCGGGATTCTTCGCCTCCTCATTCAAATGCAAAGTTTTCAAAATTTTCTAGACAATGTTACTGAAAGAAATGAAATGTTGTTGCTGTAAATGAAACCCTACTCTCCAAAATGAACCAAAAGACTGGACTGGTGAAAAGTACACGGGGTTTTATTTTCAAAGGTAAGATGAGTAGTTTGTTTGGAGGGAAAGCAGAAGTAGAGAGTCTGTATGAATGTATGACTATAGTTGTGAGATGCATAGGCTTTTGCTGACATCTATACAGAGGTCTAAGCCGGGCGCGGTGGCTCACGCCTGTAATCCTAGCTCTCTGGGAGGCTGAGGCGGGCGGATTGCTCGAGGTCGGGAGTTCGAAACCAGCCTGAGCAAGAGCGAGACCCCGTCTCTATTATAAATACAAATAAATTAATTGGCCAACTAATATATATAGAAAAAATTAGCCGGGCATGGTGGCGCATGCCTGTAGTCCCAGCTACTTGGGGAGGCTGAGGCAGGAGGATCGCTTGAGCCCAGGAGTTTGAGGTTGCTGTGAGCGAGGCTGACGCCATGGCACTCACTCTAGCCTGGACAACAAAGCGAGACTCTGTCTCAAAAAAAAAAAAAAAAATAAAAAAAAATAAATATACAGAGGTCTAAATATAAAATGTAAAATTTCAACACAAATTAGATTAAGTGGACACTGCCATTAGTCTGAATGGTCTTTTCCTCCCATAAATAAAGGCAACAAAATTCAAATATTTCATTAACTGAACCAACTATAAGCTTTGTTACCCCACATAGTCCAGCATACACTCCCCATCCCCCAAAAAACAAGAAAAACTCTATTGTATATCATTGATAAAATATAATCATATGGTACTCTTTCAGAAAAAAAAATAAAGTTTGCAAAATTATTTTTAAAAACATCCAAATGCCTTAAATTTACCATTAAAGGATTTGATAAAATGGTATCTTGGGAGAATAGCACCTTCTAATTCAAACGTGTATGTGAGTTAATAAAGCTATTCCTCAATGGCATGTCTGCCTACGCACATGCTACCAGTGTCCAAAGATCAGTTTAAGACTTTCCTCCTCCTCTTCCATTCAATTTAGGGCATTGGAAAAAGAACAACAAAAAAAGACTTTCCTCCTCCTCTGGCTCATTCTGTGATTTTGCCACAATTGAATATGACCTTGCATTCATTTTTCCTAATGCCACACCACCTAAATTGTGCTTCCTTATGAGCACTTATTATATTCTACCACAAATTATGTCTATATGTGCCTTTATCTTATTCTGCAACTGGACTTTCTTCTTTCTTAATTTATCTTTCAATTCCCTACAGCAATGTTAAGGCCTTACTAACCATAGCTACTCAATAACTCCTTTAAAATGAAAGGTTAAATGAATGAACTAAGCATAGCATTTTGAGTTCTAGTTCTTCTAATTTAACTCCTAGGTACCTATCATCTCACCTGTCAAAAACACCACCTAATTTTTATAACCATGTAGTAAAATCTCTTATTTTACTTTTCCTCTCAAAGTTCAACTTTGAACAAAATTAATAGTTTTATAAGATTTTTCTTCTCTAATTACCTTTATATTCTCTATGGATCACAACAGTTTCAGTCTATCTTGCTTCTTAACCTACTGCAATTGAGGTTTATTTTGCCACTATCTTATGAGGTCCTGAAAAACAGGAACCTTTTGGATTATCTCTGTCCTCATATCATTAAGCATATGGCAAGATTCAGAGCATATAAAATATTAGCAAATGAACAGTATGTTTTCTTCTCATCTTCAAAGAATCAGTTCTTGCTCATTTAGTGAGGATATGTTATTATAAAAATCGTGTCTGTCAAAGTATTAGCATCCTAAACTAGTATCAATTCTACCCAGAGCTGCCTAAACTAAAGAAATGGTGGTTCTAGCAACTGAAGCAGAAGGGATTTGAGGCTAAAAGAAGCACAGACATGTTCAGAAGTTTTCAGCTGAAAATGGAAAAACCTATCTTAAACTGGGCCAATCAATGAAAAGGGTCTATTGACTTTATGAAACTGAGAATGATTTATAGGTTGATGGATACAATGGCTCAACAGATTCATCAAAGACCCCATTCCATTCCATTTTTTTTACCTTGGTCTTCACTTCTAATTAATTCAAGTTAATTGACTCAGTTGAGGAGATAGAACAATAGTGAGGTGAGTGAAGAACTTGCCATGGACACTAAATTTAAGGACTCACCAAAAAACTTAGCAATAAAGATGAACAATAAATTAATGCAATATTTAAAAATTTAAAAATTAATGTAGGCCGGGCGCGGTGGCTCACGCCTGTAATCCTAGCTCTTGGGAGGCCGAGGCGGGCGGATTGCTCAAGGTCAGGAGTTCAAAACCAGCCTGAGCAAGAGCGAGACCCCGTCTCTACTATAAATAGAAAGAAATTAATTGGCCAACTGATATATATATATATATAGCCGGGCATGGTGGCTCATGCCTGTAGTCCCAGCTACTCGGGAGGCTGAGGCAGAAGGATCGCTCGAGCCCAGGAGTTTGAGGTTGCTGTGAGCTAGGATCCCACCACTGCACTCCAGGCTGGGCAACAGAGTAAGACCCCATCTGTAAAAAAAAAATTAATGTAAAAAGTTCATGATACACAACCCATCACAATCTTAAATAAAGACAGGATTCATCATAAAACATTCTACTTGTCCCCAGAATGGTTCTGCTTGCTACTTGTCCCCAGAATGGTTCTGCTTGCATCTTGACAAAGACCACTGTTACAACCTTTCTCAGAAGAGGGCAGGAAGGTTTCTCATCTGTCCCAACCTTGTCTTTGCTAAATCTTTTACCTCCTCATCTCTCCCCTTATTAACTTCATCTTAGTGTGCAAACTCAGCTTTCCTAACTATGCCTTATCAGCCTTGATATTTATAGATATTTCAAATATCTGCGGGTTCAAACCACAAGTGGATTAAAGACCTCTTAGCAAACTATTTTTTATGTTATTTTCTGTTTTCAAAAGCCACTTTGGGACCAAGCTTGCTTCTTATAGAACACACTCTAATATACTGGTTGTTTTTTTTTTACCAACGCCTTAATTAATGATATAACTTCTTGGGCACATAGTCTAAGATTAAATCCATGGTTCAAAAGGCCTCACTTTAACTGTTTTGCTATCAAAAGTAAGGATTGACAACTTCTACATACTGTGGGAGAAAGTTTTATTTTTCCATTTTTCTTTTCCAGTCTTCTACCTTACTGCTTTACTCAATCAAGTTCACATTTTAATGAAATTGGCTAGCTTCCTAAATTGCCCCACTCATAATTCTAAGTTCTATAAAATTTAGCATGCTCTTATTTGAGAGAAACAGCATAAAATGTCAACCTGACTTACTAACACAGAGGAGTGATTTTGTCACATAAAGTCTGGGGATAAGGAGATCTTCAGACTCAAATTGGAGTGAAATAGCTATTTAACAATAACATGAAGAGTGCAGTTTTGTTTTTTTTTCTTCCATCTCCCTCTTCTACCAACCGCAATTTTGACTTCTTCCTATGAGTAATTTTCTTTATAATAGTCACAGAAAGGTTTGGAGTCACACAGTTGAGAATAATTGATTCCTGGTTAATATCCAAAGGAAGAACAATCAGTTCTGACTTAGCATTTCAATCACAAGAATACTTAAAAGTATTGTGTCATGCACTCCTTTGGAAGTCTGGTGGGCTGTATGGATTCCTTACAGAATGGTATATTTTTAATGCAAATCTACACATATTTATGATTATAGAAAAAAATTGTGTACAAAACAAGGAGTCTGTGGACTACAGGTTAAGAACTCCTGATAGAACAATGATTCTTGTTACTGGCTGAAATTAGAATCACCTACTCAGCATTAAAAAACAAACAAAAATAAACTAATAATTGAGGAACCATTCTAGGAACATTAAATCACAATCTCTAAATGAGATTCTGGTATATTTAGTTTTTATTTGTTTGTTTCAAAGATTATTAAGTGATTCTAAAGCACAGTAATTTAGAACCACTGATTTACAGCAATACTTTTTAACCTTTAAGTGCATATGAATTACCTGAGCATAATATAACACATAATTTCATCAATGGGCCTGGGATGGAGCCTGGAATTCTGTTTTCCTAACTAGATTTCAAGTAATGCTAATTTTTTTGGTCCATGAAGAAGAGGCCCCATAGCAAGGGACCAAGTAATCACTTACTTTCTTGAGTTCAATCTTTTTTAGCAATAGATCCCTGTTTAAAAGGCAGAACCATGACATCTCACCAGCTTAGAAAGTGTTTTATTATTTTCTGTCATACTTATTTTTATTTTTACTTTTTTGGCATCCTTATATATACAATGTTCAGTAAAATAAAATTTTCACTTCCTGAGATTCTCTTCTAACAATATTTTTTACTTTATTTCATTATTATTGCTGAAAAATATGTGTGTGTGTGTGTGTAGAGAGAGAGGGATTGTTAAAAAAATGATCCTGTTGGTGGTAAATAGAGGGCTTAATCAACATTATAAACCAACCATACTTAAAAGATATGTACAGAATACTCAAAAAACAAAATACATTTTTCTTCAGTGAACATGATAAAACATATGTTAGGCCACAAAGCAGGTCTCAGTAAAGGTAAAAAAATTGAGATCATACAAAGTATCTTCTCTAACCACAATGAATGAAGACAGTCATCAGTAACAGAAAGAAAACAGAATTATTTCATAAATTTATGGAGATTAAACACTTCACTCTTGAACAACTTAAGGTCCTTTTAACAAGGATGCCAAGACCATTCAATGGGAAAAAATAGTCTTTTCAACAAATGGTACTGGGAAAGCTATGTGTCCACATGCAAAAAAAAAAAAAAAAAATGAAGCTAGACTTCTATTTCTACCTCACACCATGTAGAAATTACCTCAAAATGATCAATGACCTAAATATAAGAGACAAAACTATAACATAGGGGTAAATATTTATGACCTTGCATTTGGCAATGTATTTTTAGATATGTTGTCCAAGCAACAAAAGAAAATTAGACAGACTGGACTTTATAAATTAAAAACATCAAAGGACATTATCAAGAAAGTGAAAACACAGCATACAGCAGGGAGAAAATATTTGCAAGTCACATATCTGAGAAAAGACTATTATTCAGAATATATGAAGGACTCTTACAA